GGCCCACCTTTTGATAAGTACATAGGGTGGGCCAGCGTTTGATAATTACATAGGTTGGGCCAGCATTTGAAAAGTACATAGGTTTACACAACCTTTTGAGATGTACATAATCACATGCGCACTTTTACATTAAATAAAAACTACACCATTGTGTCTAGAACCGAAACATACACACGCAACGCAATGTGGTGTCGTATTGCCTCGTCGGTAATCTGACATACAAAGCCGACATCCAACATAAATCCATACACTACAATATATTCAACAGGCTTGTCTCCTATCTCTCCAACAAGTTATTAATGTATTTTAACAGCGTGCATGTTCCATCTCCTAAATCTTAATACCCTATTCCCTGACATTTTTTTCTCCTCTATTCAATCATTCATGTCTTCTGACAAAAGCGCCCCCTGTACTGTTATTAAACATTTGTTACCGGCTTCGCTTGCACGTCGTTACATACGAGGCGTTGGCTGTGAATAGCGCTTTATAAATTCTCTTTTCTAAACTTTAATAGTTGTCCATAAATTCTGTAGGACTGCAGAAAATCTATAAAGTTAACAAGATAAAAATTTCAATACGGACTTTCAATAAATGCTATGTTATAGTTGAAATTTCTGTTCGGTTGGGTGCAACTTACATACGGTATAAAAGTTCGGGGAAAACTGTCATATAATTCACGGTGGAGGTATGGACCATTCTCAGAGAAAAAATATAAAGGGTTTATTTGCTTTTGGAATAAATAACCAGACAAGTCAGCATCGACGATCGTATATAGTGTGTCGGGGTAATGGGTGTGTCGGTGTGTAGTGAGGTGTCCGGGTAATGGGTGTATCGGAGTGCAGTGAGGTGTGTCGGGGTGTAGTTGTTGTGTTGAAGTGTAATGGGTGTGTAAGGGTGTAATGGCTGTCTCAGTATGTATAGTGAGGTCCCGGGGTGTTGTCGGTGTTGTTGGTTTTCTTAAAAATACAACACTACTTCAGTATTAAACTGTACTCTATTGACAGCAATACTACTACACTCGATCAAACACTCCTTAAGTAGATGTTAGATTCGTGAGGCTGATTGACAGAATTCAAATAAAATTATTTCTATTTTAAATGTTTGATCTTAAAATATCATTTTAACATGCTGTTATAATCCTTGAATTTAATATTTTTTGTCAAGTTTAAAACATGGATTTATTTACGTTTTGGTCTCCGTCCGGTTGATCAGTACACATTATGTATTATGCATTATTTACGTATTTGATTCTGAAAAACATTAAGGCTGTTTCTAACGATATAAATACAACAAGTAGAATCTTAAATGTAGAATCTTAGACCACAGCAGGAGTTACACAATCATATGTTTAGATGCCAATAAATACATTATGGCTAACATTATCGCAGGACCCAATCATACATGATTGTCAATTTAATAGAGACATAATCAGTACACAATAACTCGGCTTTATTTATATAGGCTCCACGAAGGTAGAGAAAACGAGATTTTAAGGAGAGCAAACAAAATTGAGACCCAGAATCTATGAAGTATTATATTTTTGTTTTACATAAACGAAGTTTGAAATAAATCAGTGAAATAAATAGAAATAAAAAAATTCAATGACATCTTTCAGTACAGTTTATATCAGACTATAAAGTACATCTGTCTGAAACATTTGTTTGAATCTGATGAGAAAATCAATGCACACAATGTTGACATAGGAATTAGCTTGAAAGTTTCCTTTGATGTTAGGGAGTAAAGGAAACAACAAACACATCACACTGTGTAGGGTACAAAGTCATTATCCTACAGGACTGAGTTGCACCCTAAAGCTAAAGGCTGCGCTTGAGCGAATTTTATCCGTTAAAACTTCAGTGATTCTTTCATCTCACTGTTACATTACTTACATATCTGTCATAACTCAACATAAAGTCACTATTACATTACTTACACCTTTGTGTTAAACTGTGTTAACACACAGGTTAACACACAGGTTAACCCAGTGGTTATCACAGAGGTTAACACAGAGGTTAACACAAATTTTAACACACAGTTTAACACAGGTTAGCACAGAAGTTAACACATATGCTAACACAGACTATCAATCAATCACAGGTAGTCAACAGTTTTATCCCCATGTACAGCCACCTACTTGTTCAAATCTCCTTAGCAACCGTATGCAAAATTAATTAAAGGGAGACAACAGAATAAATTGTAACGAATGCTCCAAGACTATAAAAATACTAGTGTGGAGGCGGGGGAAATGTTGCTATAATATTTCTACCTAAGTTTTTTTATGCGTATTCAATTATTTTAAAAAAAATCTGAAAATGTTTTTCTTGTAGGGAATATGGATTGACATTCCATACTAAATTTCGAAGATATGTATAAAGATTCAATGTATCCCTTAATTTCCAAGACAGCCCAGGTATCGCCAGATTTTCCAGATAATTCAGATATCTCAGATATAACCTCTATCGTAGACATCATAAATATTTAAGTTATCCTGGTTGTCCAAGATATACGAACTAGATACGCGATATATCTTAAATATCATACATTACCCAGATAACTAGATATACAAAATAGATATGCGATATATCTTAAACATCAAAGATTGCCCAGATATACTCAGCGTCTCAGATAAATATCCCAGATATCTCACATACATCCCCAGATATCTTAGATATCCCAAGTATCCCTACAACGCTCAAAGTGCCCCAGACCACGCCTAAAATCGTGTATGTATCGGAGCAACATACTGTTACAAAAGATCTTCTATTTGTTTGAGATTATTTTATGTAAACACTAGCGGCCAGATTTAGCAAGACTAAAGTCCAGAATTTTTGTGACTATTTTATCAAGGCTTATGTTTGGTTTATGATATTAGCGGCCATTGTGTGGAAGGGTGTAGCGCGGTTAACTGCCTACTCAGAAGCCTTTAGTTCAAACCCGTGTCAACAACTTGCCCTAGGCTTGTCCGTAATAATCATCATCATTGATAGAGTAGAGTCCATCTGTTTCAATGACTACAATATACAAGGGGATAGAGTGGTCAGCACTATGCCCAGCTGCCATTACTTTCCATAATGTGAGTCAGGTACACATTAGAGCTGGGTGGACTCAGTGACGTCTTACAGTCCCGAGCTCGTGATCCGAACTCGAGACTTTGTTGTTAGCAGGCATGAGCGCTACTACTCGACCACTGTTGAGTTATAAAATCAAAATTTTGCTCTTTTAGACATAGTGACAGAGAAAATAATGTGTTTAAACATTTTTTTCTGTAGTTTTAGAAGTAAACAAAAAACGCATTAATCTTCCTACTACACAGCACAGTGCAGCACCTATTAATGTTTTTAGTGCACCTGCACTACTGCCCTATCGATATTGATCTCAGACATTGCGTTTATTTCTCTCCCTTCACCACGGGTAGGGTGTGGCTGTTTAGCGGACGGTTATTAAAATAGGCTGGTACCTGCGGAGGTGGTGCGTGGAGAACTAATGTGCATTCGGACCCGGCCCCCCACCCGGCCCCCCCACCCTGCATCCACACGGTACGCTGCCGTGCCTGTTGCTTGTTGTTCGTTAGGCCGCGGTTTATCCTCTCTCTACACACAATCTTTGGTACTTTTGATGAACGCCAGCAGTGCGTAACGACGCAAGTTTTTTTTTTTTTTTTTTTTTTTTTTTTTTTTTTTTTTTTTTTTTTTTTTTTATATCTGCTACTGCTATGTTAACCCTTACCCAAAATCCTCGCTTTTGACTTAATCTTAATTCTAGCCATAATAAAGGTACCAGTGCTGACCGTTATCGCAAATTATAACCCTAACATTAACCCCATATACCAGTAGAAAAAAAAATATTCGAGACAATATAGTATCATACAGTCTACAATCACACAAATACCAAACGATTTTTTTTTCTCAATCCCAAACCACACACACGCGTCATAATTTCAAGGTGTGTGCTGCAGGTGGGGAGGGGGTAGTGGGGGTGCACGGTGTGGGGGTGGGGGGGTTATGCACAAGCAGGGGTGGGGAGGGGTAGTGCAGGAGGGGAGATCCAAAGCCTGTGTAATAGTTCCATTAATTCTTTCATATCTCCAAGTCTTTTGAACGTGAACAAAAAGCTGGGCTTTGAACCAACAAGATAAGATTTCCTATTGATAAAAATGGGTGGGATATTTTATCTTGACTCTAAAAAAAAGTAGGACGGGGAGTGGGGGGGGGGAGGGGGAGAAAATTTCGTTCGTTCGTAATATCGTCAGCATTGCTGGTAGTTTTGTCATAACCGCGGTTGTCCATATGACAATTCTGGAAGTTTTAGGTGGGAGAATGGAAAGTGGGGGAAGTGGTTGGGGGATGGGGCTGGGGGAAGTGGTTGGGGGATGGGGGCTGGGGGTGGGGCTGGGGGGGAAGTGGTTGGGGGATGGGTTATATCGTGAATTGGGGGGGTGGGGGTTAAGTGAAAAGAGTTAATCCGCTGTAGTGGTTCATCGTGGGTTAAATTGAGCTGTAGGGAAAAAGTATGTGTTTATTTTCGGGTTGAGATTTCGCTATTGTGGAGAGGAGGTGGGGAGGGGGGGGGGGAGTGGGGAGGGGGAGTGGTGGATAGAAAACTTCCGTTTGAGTGGGATGATAGAAATTTAGTTTGCAGGGGGGTGGGGGGTTGGGAAAAGGTATGGGGGATAGGGATTGGGGGGGAGTGAGCGGTGGGGAACAAAATACCAGTAGGTAGGGGGGGGGATGTAGCGGGGTGGGGGGGGGGGCAGCGTGGGGTGGATTTAGTCAGTCGTGACGCCTTTTTCTCTCTTGCGTCAGGGCGGTGATAGAGCCGTGTGACGCAAACAGGTTGACAGTGCTTATTTTTGGCAAGTAAATGGGGTGGAAGAAGGGGGGTGGGGGCATACCGGAAAGGGGTACTAAATAACCCCCTATACTTAGTACGCCTTTTGAAAGAAAAAAAAGGAATCCCATAAACAAATTAGATCCTACATCAGTGCCTGGCTTCGACTCTGAGACTTCGCGGGCTGTGTTGGCATTCGTGTGAAATTTGTTTTACCCGTTGATTGAGTTGTCGGCACTTGATTGCAGGTTTCGTAATACTGGATTAGGATTATTGGCGTAGTTGTACGAATTAGAGTGTGCATTCAAACGTGATATTCGGAGTTAATTAACTGGAGGCTAACATTGTTAATTTCACGTGCGAATTTGTTTAATGGTAACGAATGTGGTAGTGTATGTAAATGTATTATATAATTTGAGATATGTTTTTAATTTTTCATAGCTAGTCTACCGTTTAAATATACAGGTCGTAATTTTGTATGTTTATACTAGTCTAGTCATTTTGTAAGTAAGAAGATCTAAGAAAAAAGTTAAGTGACTCTCCTCGTTACGTGCCGTGCTCCTGGCACAGATGTTAGAACATGACGTTAGCTTTAACTACACATTTCGATAAAATGGCTATTTATTAATTAGTAAAAAAAAATGTGAATCTCTACATCATCAAATTGATAGACAATTATTAGTTTAAGGAAGGAGGAAAATATATTCTTTAGTATTACATATAAAAGTTTTATACGCATAGATATTTAGGTATTTTCTAGCTCTCTCTCTCTCTTTCTCTTCCTCTCTCTCTCTCTCTCTGATATATATATATATATATATATATATATATATATATATATATATATATATATATATAAACCATTAAATTATCTGCGTGTCAATACTAGAACGTCTGTATAAAATGTTTCTTTAATTACTTAACTTCCTACATAGTTTAATTTCTCGGTGCAGTAAACTAAACCTTCGACTTTTTCCTTTCTAAATTTTAAGCCTTTTCATGCTTTGGTCTGACTTTCTACTTTCGTTTTCAACGGTTGGTAATTCGTTTCCGGTCAATACTGCACAGTCTAATGACCGTGTTATGGTATTATCTGTTCAAGAAAGTCCTTTTGTTTTAGATATAACCTTGCATTTTTCAAGATGCCGATATACAGAATGTTTTTTAAATCAATTGAAATCCTTACATAGGGTTTATAAAACTGTATTGTTGAGCTTGTCTATGTATGGTAATAATTTGTTTCAATTTATAATCCCCAAAGCCATATGGATTAAATGGGTCTACTCAGTTATTTTTGAGATTAGCTGATACATAATTTAAAATTTTATTTTTGCAGCGACATTTTATTGAATAAAACATGACTGAAAAATAAGCTGCGGTTGGTGTGAAAGAATTTCAAACTAAAGAATTTTTGAGATTTTAGTCATGTTTTGTAAGCTGCTAATAAAAAATAATGAGTTGGGCAATGTATAGACAAAAACTAGTGATAGAAGAAAAGTAGCCTTGAGACCAAATAAAACATAGACCAAATAAAACATAGACCAAATAAAACATAGACCAAATAAAACATAGACCAAATAAAACATAGACCAAATAAAACATAGACCAAATAAAACATAGACCAAATAAAAAATACACCAAATAAAACATAGACCAAATAAAAAATAGACCAAATTAAACATAGACCAAACCAAATAGTTACCAAATAAATAAATCAAATCAAATATAGGCTTCACCAAATAAAAGATATACAAAACAAAGCATAGACCAAAGAATACATGTATCTCACTCTATAGTCATATAATCCCCCAAATGTTATTTCAATCCTAGCCTCAATACCTCTGATATAGTGCCTCTCACATGTAGATGAAATGTGTCAAATCTCGCATTCATCCATTGTTAACTAGTTTTTATGAGGATATGTTCACAAAACTCCTTCTTAAGCATTCCGTGGCTTGGGAGAAATATTACCACCTTCAATTTGGTTACCAAAAGTACGACTAATCTGACTTCCTCTAGATCTAGTCAATTCTAGTGGTCAGCGAGGAGAAGGATTGACCAGTTCTTGTTAGGTGTTTGACGTCATGTATTTCTGTGTACATTCAGGTGAGGTGTTATGAGTACTTGTAGTCTGGTACGTTTTCTTGATGACCCGTTCCTCTTGACTATGTAAACTGTGGTCTGAATCATAACGATCTTAATTTTAAGCAAAGATTTAAGTCGTTTTCTTTAATATTACTAGTAAAAAAAACTGGAAGGTTTAAGAATTATTGCTAATGATAACCGTAATTATACAAGTTATTTTTACTCGATGTGTGTGAATAAAACATCAAACAAAATGTGGTTTTAATAACCTGTTCTTAATTTTCAATATTTAAGTAAAAAATAAAAATATTTTTTTACTAAAAATGTAGATAGCCACAGTGACGTTAATTTGTATTAGTTTTAATTATGCTAATTTTAAAATTAAGTTTAAACAAAAATAAATGAAAGATCTAAATTTGCCACCAATGGTTGCTATCAACACGCTAATTAACCTAATTATTCCTAATTATATAAATTAATGCTTTTTAAAGTTGTTCTTGTTGAATTCTAAACTACAAAAATTACAAGTTGAAATTTATTTTTTTGGTGAGAAAAAAATGAATAACAATATTATTTTGGTAATCATTTGAATATCTTTTTATAAATGTATATTTTTGGACGTTTTTTTTTTTTTGTTAATTTTACTGGTCCTTTGTGTGTAGCTAAATCTATAATCAGTTCATGGATAATAATTATTGTCTCATTAGATATTTGATACACACAGGTCAACATACACACAAGTCAACATACACACAGAACGACATACACAAGGCAACATACTCACAGGCTAACATACACACATAACAACAAACACACAGAACAACATACACACAGAACAACATATACACAGGCATACACACAAGCAGACAGACGCACACAATTGCTCTAAAAAAAAATAGCGGTATCGCTCAAGGTACATCGCACATAATATTTAGTAGGACACAGGTGGGTCCGTATGTATTTTAAAGTTGTATAACACTCGCTCGATGCAGTGGCAGTCCTCCAACACACTTAAGTATTACTTGTCTACATGTTAAGCGCCTGGTGGTCCGTTGACTTCAACTTCAGTCTGTTTCTCTTTCTGCTATCATAACCTTTGTGCACGCAAAAAAATCTAAAAAGACAGCAGTTGTTTAATTATGGAGTTTTCTCCTCTAGATGGATTGTTATCCCCAAATTACGAGCCTCATCTGCCAGGAGAGACCGAATTAGTGACTTTAGGGAGTAGCAATCATACCAGGCCAACCCACTCCCTTTGTCAATGTCTCAGTCAATGATATGTTTAGTATTTAGTCAGGCGACCATTACCAAACCCCTTTTTAAAGCAGTTATTTCAATCTTTCCTTAACTCCTAAACCAATGCGTGTGCTATCCCTTAAATAAGACGTCATGGCATTATCGCAGTAAGTAAACATTTGCATGTTCAAGTTACGTTTAGCGATAAGAGCATGTTTTAAAAATCGTAAAATCGATTTTTCTAAATTTTGGTCAAATTATTTAAATGCATAGTGCAACAAAGTCAGTTGGATGTGATCAGCACGGATACCCCACTTACCCCCCCCCCCCCCCCCCCCTCGATCTCTCTCTTTTCACCATGCACGCAAATCTTAGAGCGGCCATGATGAACTTGATACTGTTCCAAACTAAAGTTCAGCCAGCTTTAGCAATAAAGTCGTGTATTGTACAATAACGCTGCCCATTTTTTAATTATGATTCACTTTCAAATTTCTTCCTTTGGCCACACACTACGGGCATGTTTCTGGCTAGTGTGTCTCACTTTTTTGACCTCACACCCTGTGTGTATTTCTCTAATCTCGAGGGAAAGTTTACCAAAAAGCCCGATCGTGATGCAGCCTGAAAACGTTATGGCCGGAGATAGAAGCTCCGCCAAATGTTTGCCCCGGCTCGTGTTTGCGTAACAGAAGAAAAAACATAAACAGCCCCTCAGAGAACTACACACAATTTTCAGTTTATGACACTGGCACCCGGGTTTTGAGAAAGTTTTAGACCCGACCCATGGTAACCAAACGATGCAGGAGATATTCGGGTTCCTGTTGATAAGGAGGTGGGGGTGGGGGAGTCGGGCATGGGGTGGGGGGGGGGGGGTCTGCTGTAGTGAAGACTTTGTGTTAGTCGCCTGGTATTAAGTACTTACGTAGTTCTGAAAAGAATATGTAGGTCATGCGGTTGATACGGATGGTATCTCGCGCGAAAGCTAATTGAATTAAGTTGTCTTCGGGGGTACTTGTTAGTGCTGGGGGGGGGGGGGGTGGGGGGGGGTGGGGGGTACTAGTTAGTGGTGGGTGGGGGGGGGTAGCTCTGCGCCCTTCTGACTTTGAGCGAGTCCAGGCAGGGCAATATTTTAAAAATCTTTTTAAAAAATTTACGTCGCGATTTCAATTTTAAATAAAGATTCCCATAAGTGCAGTTATGTTTTATTTCATTAATACCACGGCACTTATGCTGCTAGAAAATATACTTTAGCGGCAATTCTACTTGTGATACTTACATCCATGAGGCACTAATGCTTGTGCCCACAATCATGGACCCCATCCTATACTTTTATACTTAAAGTGCCGGCATTTTTAACAGTACGAATAAGTTCCCTATGCTTTCGTCTGGTTAAGTAATGTATTCTGTAGATCCTAATATATAAAAGCCCATGTGCGCACTTCCCTCTCTCTATCTCTCTGTCCGCAACTTTTTTTTAGTATATGTGATCAGTATGTTCAATGATATTTAGAATACTTAAAGATACCGACTTTGTTGAAAACAATATGGTGGGTATTTTAAATATATAAACTAAATTTCAATTGAAGAAGGTTAATAAAAATAAATGAATATTCGAACGTAGAAACACATTTTTCACTATGCAGCCGGAAAAGTGTTGATTTTTGTGACAAGAACGCAAAAGACAATGACGTCACATGTCACAAGGTTAAACTACGGAAAGTACACACAACTAATGGCTTCATCTTCCAATATTAGAATATTAAAACATGAACAATTTAATTCAAATATGATTTAGATCTATAGATCTAATTTTCAAGACGTACAATATGAAATATATACAATTTTCACGCCTAAACTAATACAAATTACTTTTTAAAAAAATAACATAAATACCACTGAACAGCCAGGTTTTAAACGGAATCATTTATTAAGTCTCTTAATCAGCGTATGCATTTAATTTCTAATAAGTATTGGTAGCCTTTGTTATTTTAAATGTGCCGGATTTTTAGCTATTTAGTTATTTGTTTGATTTTAATTGTGTCGGAGTTATTTAGCTA